AAGAGACATGTTTATGGACAGTGAAGTACTTTGTCGGGACATTGTATTGTACAGGTCCGGTCACATTTCTTTTGCGCTTGCTTTTTATTTTGCTTTAACCTCCCCGCAAGCTCAGGTCTCTGGCAAAGATCGTGCAGAGCGAATTTTTCCTTCCCATGGTAAGAGGCGGTGGGGACGTCTCGGAACCCCTTCCTTTACGACCCTTACTTTTTATCTGTTCACCAATTTGAGAGAGGCAACCTTACCGGTTCGCGACTCTCCATCTTCGTACATATTATCAAAAACTCAGACAACGGTTTTTCCTTGAAGTGCTCGTGGTCGGCGATACGTCACACGATACAACGACTCCCACTGAACCCCACAACTGACGCGAGGCTCTGCCCCAGACAGGAAGGCTGTCAAGTGGTATGCCTTCGTTCGGTAAGAGCTCTTCTTTCGTGTTGCCTGTAATAAAGGGACGAAGCGGCTTCAAATTCCACGCACGCCCTTACATCTCCCCACGAGCAACTATGGCGCTGGTCTCGGGTTCTCATCGTATTACCTCCGCTATACCTATGTTGACATCAAAATTTCAAATATCGACACCTTTGCTTACTGCTGGTATATCGCTTGCTGTCTCCTCCTTATTTGGGATGCTTCTGGAGAGCAAAACGAAACTTGGTCGAGCCTTGGGAGCTTCGCTCATTGCATTCTTATCGCAATCCCTGTTATCCAACATCAACCTCATTCCGATGGAATCCCCAATTTATGATGCTTGTTGGGGTAAAGTATTGCCTGCATCGCTCTCTCTTTCTGTCCTTCTTGCCGTTGCTGCCGCCGGTACTCCCACTTCCTCCTCGCGCACCACTCAAGATCAATTAATTTCATTGAACAACATCTCCTCGATTAAGTCCGCCGCTTCTTCTTCTTTGACTTCAGTACCTCAAAGGAATCAAACGTGGGCTGAATCTTCCCTTTGGAAAGTTTTGCTGGCAAACGTCTTCGGAGCCTGTGGCGCGGTGATTGGTGGTCTTCTAGCCTTCACCTTTGCCTCCCGTTGCCAAGACCAGTTTCCCAAGCCGGTCCTGGCTAAAATCGTCGCCTCAATTGCCACCACCCACATCGGTGGCTCCATAAACTTTTTCCAAGTAGCCCGTAGCGTGGGTCTTGACCGGGAGGGGCAAGGCTTGCTAGGTGCAGTGGCTGGGGCAGACATATTCTTGATGGCACTGCATTTCGCGGCGCTTTTGGGCATTCAGAGAAACCCGACAGGGACAGCAGCGTTTATAAATCGTAGTGATATTGACCAAACATCTTGGAAAGTGTCAGTCGCGGCGTTTACGCCCTCATCTTCGATTTCGTCCAACGAAACAAGACAATGTCGTGAGGCCACAGAAACTCGACCGTTGGCGCTCCATGCACGAAATGCGTTCCCTCATGCTACTCTAACACCTGCTGTCTCGGACACTTTATTGCCCGCCATATTTGCATTACTCCTCGCTCTCATGGTCGGGGAAGGCGGTCAGTTTGTTGAACGGAAATTAGGTGTGCCAGGAGCGGCGGCAGGAGCCATCACCGCTCTGTCTGCTGGCGTCTACGGCCTAATTAGACGTCTTGCTCCCCGATGCTTCCTCCGCCTTGCCCTACCAGTGGGGGCTATGTCGTCCCTTCTCTTCAGTCTCTTCTTCGCGGCCATTGGAGCGGGTGCGTCGCTGATGCACTTGGCCGAGTCGGGACCAGTGATCGTTACCCTTATGAGTGTCAGCCTGCTCGTCCACTTACTCACCACCATGCTTGGAATCCACGTCTACAATCGATTTGTCCCCTGGCCCGCCAGAATAAGCGTGGATGAGGCGGTGATAGCCTCCAATGCGAATGTGGGTGGCCCCGCGACCGCAGCGGCGATGGCTGGTTCCATGGGCCGCGCCGATCTGGTGCTGTCGGCGGCGGCGACGGGGACAGCTGGTTACGCTGTAGCCACTTTCATTGGGGTGGCTCTCTTTAAATTCTTGGCTTCATGAATCAAAAGTACTGAATGAAGGAAGGGGTGTAGGTCTGAACGTGCTATAAATAAATCCAAGATTTTGACGAAGCCATTGCGATGGTGGATTTTCCTTTCACAGCACAATTTTGGTCATCAGGTAATCTTGATTTCATTCCCGATATAATCAGTGCTGGCTTATTGGAATCGTGTCCTGAAGCGGTCAGCAGGGCCGTCCTCTCTCTATCTGTCTACGACGCCCCTGCTAAAACAGGCTCTTGCCGCCTCGAAGCCGAAGATTGAGTGTTGCCTAAGTCGATTACCCCTCCACTACTCGTGGCTCCCCTTGCACTCCCTCCCAAGGTCTGCGCCCTATCCTCATTTTCTGTTGTAGGAGGGACGCTAGAGCGCGGCGCCCGCGGGGTGGGAACCTCCTCTGATTCTCCGTTTTCCGACTCGGTCAGCTCTTCCTCTCGCCACCAGGCCTCCCTGCCCAGAATTTTTTCTTTCGCCCAGGTCAGCAACAGATTCAACAACCGGACTTCAAGTCCGCTGTGGGCATGCAACAGAGTGATCCGCGGATCAAAGAGAATCGTCCTCCAAGCCGGCTTTCCTTGTACGGCCCGGAGCCGCTTGCACTGCTCCTCAAGGTCGGGCAGTGGAAGGAAAGGACCCAATAGGATGCGTGAGAAAACCCCCAAATACCAGGTCAGGCTGTAAATATGGTGGGTCCGCGGGTCGACGAGCGCTTGCAAGGAGCGAGGCCCGGCATGCTCAAGGGCCAGCTGCAAGAACCGATAGGAGGCCAGGCTGATGACTTCGTACCACAAGAGAGCACCGAGCAAAATCAGGAGCTCCGTGGCCACCCACCATCCGGTCGACGCCCGTGCATTCCCTTGATTTTCGTGTCGCCCCTCTCCCTCACTTTCTTCCCGCCCAGGACCCTGCGGGGCCCTCGGCTGTACCTCCGCCTCCTCTTCTTCGACGTCCTGTAGCTCCTGGCGCAGTCTAAGTCGAGTCACCGTCAGCCGGCACCAGATCGTCACAAGCTCCGCCACGGATGCCAGCATCATCCATACGCAACAAAACCCCATGACGGGGTGAAAGCTAAGAGCCAAACGGATGCGCACCATCAAGTCTTGGGGTAAGTGTCGAAATTTGAGCAGCTCGTGGAAATATCCAGGGCGAGCTCCTCCTGGACTTCGCGAAAAAAGAGCACTGACAAGGGCCCACAGCGTCCAGTGGGAACCGACGGAGGATGCCAGAAGCAAGGCGTAACCGTTTCTGGCCAGGGCCGCGCTTCGGCCTTGAGCAGGAACGTTGGGTAGGAAGATGAGGACAGCCAAGACGAATGGAAGCGAGAAGCGAAGGTGGTTCAGAAATCTGAGCGCCTCTCGGTCCGCGTGAAAGGAGGGGAAAATTCCATCTGCTGCGTCTATGTCGTCCCCGGCATCCCCAAGATGAAGGTGCCCTGGCATGCGCCAATGCCGTCTTCCCCCCCGGGCCGTGCGATGTTCTCGATGAATTTCATCCTGTTCTGTGCCACTTGCCTCTTCCCTCTCCCTCAGGCCGCGAATGGGAGGAAGATGGAACGCCGAGGGAAAGAAGACAGGACCTACAGCCCTGTCCATGCCGAGTCTATGCTCTCGCCTACGACGGCTCAGACGGACCAGGCGCGCCGTCCGCGCTTGTATCTTTGCAAGCATATTCTTGGATGCAGGAGTACTAACTTCTGACAAGCGAGTTCGGTACTCTTGTGGGTACATCTCGGACAAAGTGTTGTGTAAGAGGACATTCAGGCGAGGCAGCCGGGTCAAGGGGGTGCATCTCTGACCGAAGACCGGGCAGGGTGCCAGGGGCTTCTGTTCGGTGATCCAAGCATGATGAAGCGCCCGGGCGGCACAGGATTCACATAGTGACGCGCCACATTCTAAAGTGATGGGCCGAACAAGCAGGGACAAGCACAGTGGGCATGTGTACATGGAGGAAGGAGATGGGGGACGTGGCTTCGGCGACGCGCTTTTCGTGCCAGCGTCACTAGACCTGGAGCACAAAGCATCTTCTCTTGTTTGAGACAAAAATTTCTGCAAGGTTTCACAAATCTCGGCATTTTCGCAACTTCTTGTTGGGGAAGTTGCTCTCCTATCTATAGAAGAATCGGGGTGCACGGGATCATGTAGAGGCATAGTTGTCGCGGGATCCGATGGAGACACGTCCATATCTTCTTGGTCTTCTGTATGGGAATCGAAATCATGGGGTTGATTTGTCTCTTGCGAATATTTTGGTTCCTCGCTCCTATCAAGAGTCAGAATTAATTGGCACCGGGGTAGTGGCTCCACACTGTTGATAATTCGATTTGTGGATTGGTTGCTAGGGACATCTTCTCCGTCTTCCAGTGCATTCACGCGTGCGCGTTTCTCTGTATCTTTAGAAATAGTCATTTCTGTTTGGAATGGCCGCTTGACAGGTGTAAGCTTGGTTGCAATGAGCAGAGAAGGATCGACAGCATCCTCCGGCTCGTCTGTGCGAGCAGCATTTCCAGAATCCGTTCCCATCGCCACCGAGCCTGAGACATAATGCTGTGCAGCAGGAGTTGTCATGCTATGACGTTTGGGGTGTGTAGGACTTGAAGGGTAGAATTTATGGCTTGAGATGGGTATTGTGCAGTCTCTTACAACATCTTTATTGTTTATCGAAAAGCGATGCGGACAGCCTAAGCCCAATGAAGAAGACACAGTGCGTGAAGCATGATTCGTGAGACATATGCCTTCCATTGCACAACGCAACCTCTCACGATGCTCCATCGGGCACAGGTGCTCGCATATTTGTCGTGGGGCAAGATTGGCAGCGCCTGCAAGTACTAACGGCTCACGCTAACGGCTCCCAACGGCTTGATTCAAACTTGAAACTCTTGTCGCAACCTCCGACTACAATGTCAAAACTCATCTATGATCCATGCATTAATTATCATCCTCACAATTTTAAAGGGCAACTCAAGTATGGTCCGGATCGTCAACGCGGTGACCGGTGCTACAGCTTACACACCACCACCTTTTACACACGCTGGTGTCCCCATGACAACAGAGGACCTTCATGCACTGAACGGCAAGTCTGTCACCCTTATCGGCTTCGGGAGCCTCTTGAGCGAGACGTCTTCGAGGACAACATTCCCACAGCTTGTTAATTTTAGACTCGGGCGTGTCAATGGTTACCGAAGACTCTTTCGGCATCCTGCTGCAATATTTTTTGAACGGGGCATTGCCCGCCCTGAGACTAAAGAAATTTCTAGTTTGAGCGTGGAGTACGTGGGCGAGGGTGCTACTGGTGAGGAGGGCTTTGTATGTAGTCTCTTCGACGTCATGCACTTTAATTTGCAAGACTTTTTGGATCGAGAAGAAGAATTTGCCTTCACGATGGCAGAGTTCACGGAATTGGGGGAAGGTGATAAAAGAGGGAAGGGCCTTATGTGTCTCGCGACGACGGATGCTCATGTTGAGGACCGTTGGGGAAAAGGGTATATTAAAAGAAAATATGGTGTGCACGGTTTGAATAGCATCTGGGATGAGTGGGGGCCGGAGAGCGGAATCCTGCCCTGTCCTGTCTACCTGCGGCACTGTGTCCTATCCGCTCGTAAACAAGGACAGGATGGACCGGCTTTTCGAAGTTTTCTCCGTGAAACGTTCTTGGCCGATCGAAAAACGACGATCGAAGAGCATTTGGCGCGGCGGCCCGATATTTTACAGACAAATCCGCCCCCCAGCGTGTCGGGCCGTTACAGTGGATAGTCATCATTGGTCCCAGGAGAACTTAGACAAGAGAGCGCCTGCCAACGAGCGCGCGACACAGGATTATTTGAAAGCATTCAAGAGAGTTTACTTTTCTACCGTGTCTTCCTAAATTTACTTTGAAAATGCATGATCACAGCTTGCTATACACGAAGACTTTACATACCAAGAGCTCAGGATACCGCCAGCCCCGACCCTGCGTTGCCCTTTCTCATCCTCTGCCTCTCTTTCTCCTCTTTCATCTTCCCCTTCTCTCCTTCCCCTCTCTCGTCTCCCTTGGGTAAGGCCTCGTCCAGATCCGCGACCACGAATGCTGTCACCGCGAAGACAGCGGCGGCCAGGTCCATGTCCCCAGGCTGCAAGACATTCATCTGGTCCCCGTGCGAGTGGTGGTAGGCAAAGTAGCGCTCGTTCTCACTTATCAGACTCGCGCCCGGCACTCCCACTGCCTTCCAGGGCTGCGTATCCGTTTCATACCCTTTCCCATCGCGCGCGACGAGGGTAGCGTTGATCCCTCCCAACAAACTGCCCACGTCCGCCATCACCGAAGCCGCGTCCACCCCCCCACTGAAAGACAAGCCTCGGGGTCGAAAAGCGCCCATGTCCGATTCAATCACCAGCACTACCTTCTCCTCCCGGTGGTCATCAAAGTACTGCCGGCCCCCGATGCCCCCAAACTCTTCCCCCACCCAACCTACCACCCGGATGGTCCGGCGCGCCCGCCAGTGCAGGGCCCGCAGGGTGGACAGGGCCTGCCAACTTATCACGAGCCCGCCACCGTCGTCCATGGCACCCACGCCCACGTCCCACGAATCCAAATGGCCCGAGAGGAGGACCACCTCGTCCGGGAGCTCCCTTCCCCTCCATTCGGCCACCACGTTGCGGGCTTGTCGAGCCGGCAGGTTTTGTGCCCCCATGGACAGGCGCAAAACCACATCTTGTCCCCGGGCTTGCATGCGCGCCAGGGCCTCTGCGTCCTCGACCGTGACGGCCGCGGCAGGGATCTGGTCTTCTGCCTTGCTGGATGCGTACCTTTGCATGCCGGTGTGCGGGGAGCCGATGGAGGCCGAAGCCAGAGAGCGGACCAGGTAGGCTACAGCCCCCCACCTTGCCGCCCGACTCGCACCCTCCCCTCGGTACTTGGCACAGGCACCATAGCACCCCACGGGATTTGAGCTCCAGTCACAGGCATAATTCAGCAATACTATTTTCCCCTGGACCTGCCCGGCTTTTCCAAAAGCAGCCAATTCGTCAAAATTCCGCACAACCAGTACATGCGCTTCTATGGGTCGCCCTTCAGGAGTTCCGATGGACGTTCCCAATCCCAAAATTTGCATGCGATAACCAAGTCGCGGACTCAGCATGGTGCATTCTTCGTCCCCGCGCTGCCAGTGCGGCACAGTCACGTTCTCTCCGTGGACGTTGTCGAAGCCCTCCGCCTGCCAAACACTTAGCATGTAGGAGCTGGCCCGCTCGAGGCTGGGAGAACCACAAACACGATTCCCCACCGTGTCGGTCAAGGCTGCCAATTTATGCCACGCTTGATCTGCGCACGAACCTCCCGGGAGAAGGCTGTTGATGATAGATTGCGCTTCGGTAGCGTAGTCGCTCGGAGAGGGCTTCGCGGTTGTTTGATGTGCCATGATAACTGCTACCAACACGAGAAAGGATACGCAGGCATGTCTTGCGGCCATCATGGGCATGGCTGCTCTGTCCCGCAGGCAAAAACACCTGTCAAGCATGCACGTACACTTGTCACGGTCTAGCGGCACGCCTGGAAAATTACCTCGAGTGTGTTTTATTTCCCCCCCTTTTCTCCCCCCCCCCGGGGGCTTGAAAAAAAAGTCACGGCCCCGGACCGGCCCTCGCCCCCCTCGAACGGCGACACAGAGCAAGGACATGACAAGCCAGGTCCCGCATTCCTGCCCCGCGTGCCCCCCCGGGGCACGTCACGTGCATGCGGGCCGGAGGGAGACAAGAAGAAAGGGGAGGATGGTGGTGGTTGGCTTGCGGTGGAGGTGGGGATGATTTGGGGGGGGGGCAATGACGTCGTATCATGATAGGCATTGGCGTGTCTTCAGGCAACATGTAACTGAGGAGCAACTTTACGGTCACTGTGTACCCTGTGCTGTGCCTGATCTTGGCGGTCTGCGCGGTCGTTACGCGTCTCACCACCAGCAATTTACACACAGGCGGCCAAGCAGAGAGTAGAGACTCACTGCGAAGGATACGTGTGCAGTTTCAATTGAGTGGTCAGGGAATACTACCAGCACTTTCCCTTCAATTTACCTGTCTCGCAGGACGCTCCACTTCAGGAAGTCCTCCCCGCTAAAAGACACCCACTACACAGTGTCAGAAGCACAATGCCGTCACAGCAACGACAACGAAGGAGAGGGCACGCCCCCTCTTTGAGTATGGTGGGCTTGACCGCTGCTTTGAGCGCATTAGTCGCAGGGCAAGCAGGTGCCTCGAGGGTAGCCAAGTCGGCTGGCAAGCCCTCTTTTTTCCTTCAAGACCCAAGCGATGGCTCATGCCTAGCAGGTGGCGAGTTCAAACGCTGTGCGATTGACACATTGTGGTACGTGCAAGGAAAACCGGGTCATTACCAAATCCATCATCGGCCAGTGGAAGAGACAGACGAGGAACTCTGCCTAGACAAGTGAGTGCAGGGGAGGTGTAGTGGAGCGAATCGACGGGACGGTGCTCATGTGTAGACAGCCTTAGCTTCTCTCTGGGGCCAGGTGAATGGGTAAAGGCACAAGGGTGTGCTCATGCTCGCAGGCCTGCTGGGAGATGCGCCTGCCATGCGGTCCAGGGCATGCATCCCGGTGTTCGGGGGGATGCGACTCGTGGAATGCTTCTGTCACGATCTCACCCCATTTTTTCNCCCGTCATGCTTTGTTAGGAAATCGTGCAATGCAGACAAGTCGGACGTACGCCTGGCCTCCTGCAAGCACTGCGGCGCCACGAATTGGAACATCTTGGGGGACTCGGATACCGGCTACGTGCTGAGCGAGGGGGACGGGAAGTACTGCCTCATGCGGGAGAAAGGCAGCAAGAAGACGAAGATGGTTCTGTGCGAGAAGGACGGGTACACCGCTCTACACCTGCAGTTCGCCAACAGGGACGATATCAAGGCCATGTCTTCTGTCGGGGCCCGTCTGATCACGGCCGCCTCGGACGGCGACAAGAAGCTGATCAAGAATTACTTGAAGAACAAGGTGGACGTAAATAGTCGAGACTGGGACCAACTGACGGCCTTGATCGCCGCGGCCTCGGCAGGACACTTAGATATCGTCAAATTGCTGTTGGATGCAGGTACCGTCTTGTCATGCCAAGCCCTCTCTTTCTTTCTCCTTCCCTCCTCCCTCCTTCCATTCCTGTTCGGCATGTATACGAGCCCGTGCACTCACGCACCTTTCGTTTCCAAACCTCCCGGTAGGTGCGGACGTGAATGCCAGGGACAAGGACAACATCACTGCCCTGATGGAAGCGGCGATCATGGGCCACAAAGACATCGTCAACCACTTGATCAAGAAGGGGGCGGAGGTAGAGGCGACTGCGGCGTCGGGGGTGACAGCCTTGTGGCTGGCCGCAGGGGAAGGACGGGACGCGATCGTATCGTCGTTGGTCTCGGAGGGTGCGGACGTGAATAATCAGCGGTCCGATGGGATCACCACCTTAATGGCCGCCGCCGTGGGGGGTCATTATAAGACGGTCAAATTTTTGGTCGACAAGGGCGCGAGGATCGAGGAGAAGGACCAGGAAGGCCTGACAGCCCTGATCAATGCGGCGGAGATCGGCTCCGAGGACACTGTCTCCTACCTTATGGACAAGGGGGCCGACGTGAACGACATGTCCACGTCTGGCTTTACCCCTTTGATCGTCGCGGCGGCGGGGGGGCATTTGGGCGTGGTCAAGAAGCTGCTGGCGGCCAAGGCGGACATCAACCAAGAGCACCCCGAGGGGGTGAACGCGTTGATGTACGCGGCAGCGGGAGGTCATGTCCCCGTGGTGCAATTGCTGATCGAGGCGGGGGCCGACGTGAACCAGCTCCATTCCCACGGGGGCTCAGCGCTGATGGAGGCCGCCACCTCGGGCAACCAGACGGTGGTGTCTCTGCTGATCGAGAAGGGGGCAGACTCCACGTTGAAGGACAAGGACGGACTGACGGCGCTCATGTCGGCAGCCTCCTTGGGCCACACGGAGGTGTGTAAGCTGCTCCTTGCGCAACCCGGCGTGGAGCCCAATGCCATGGCGAATTCGGGGGGCACTGCCCTCATGTTCGCGGCAGCAGGGGGTTTTGTGGACGTTGTGGAGCTCTTGCTGGCTCACAAGGCAGACGTGAATGCCCGGGTAAAGGCGACGGAGGATTACAAAAAGTACATAGAGGACGGCCTGAAGGCGGGCACGGAGGGGGTGGAGGAGCACAAAGATGACGTGACGGCCTTGATAGTAGCGGCCTTGGGGGGCTCGGCG